TGGTCTGTCCCAGCACTTTCTTTAGGCGGAGCTGCCTCTACCCACCCCCCACCCCACAACGGGCGGGTGCCAGACAAGCTGCCTGGTGTCTGAGTGCCCTCTTGAGTGGGCAGGCTGAGGCTTGAAGCATCCTGGGTTTTGAGCAGAGATGGGCCCGCCTCTCAGTAGGTTGGGGGAGGCTGGCCCTGGGTCAGGGTAAGGGCCTATGGACACAAGACTCAGAGTCCAGAAGGTGCAGCCAGTGTGACTCACTGGGACATGGGGTGGGTGGGGGAGCACTAGCCCTTGTTGTGCCGGCAAGGGTCTGGTCTAGGAGGTGAGGCTGGGTCCTAACCCCCACCAGCTGGGCTCAGACCAGCAGCAGCTGAGTCCAGGAGTTGGTTCCAGCCCCGGGAGAGGCAGGTGGTGAGAGAGGGGCAGGCAGGTCATGTCTGAGCCTGCCAGGTGGGATGGAGTTTAGGATTGGCTGGGCAGGTCCAGTACTCCGCTCACGCATCCTGCGTCGGGCCTTCGGGGCTTGTCGGCACCCCCTCACCCCCCATCACCACCACCTATGTCTTACCTCCTCTGCACTATGGAGCAGGCTTCCCACTGCTTTCCTTGTAAAGCTTCTCTGTAAAGGGCAGCTTCTCTGAGGGGGGCCCGGCCTTGGAGCAATCTACTTCCTGTCTTGCTTCCTTTGTTCCTCCCTCCTGTCCCCCTTTCCATTTATCCCACAACTTCCTTTATTCTGCCATGCCAAGCCCAAGGGGCCCCCAGAAGGAAGTGGAGTCTTCATCTTGGGGAACAGGAGAGGATGATTCATTCGTTTGATCATTCCGGTACACACATATTTACTCCCATTCACTCACTCTTTCCCATTCAGTTACTCCTTCCCTCATTCTTGGGACACTTAATGAGCATCTACTATGTTCAAGACCCTGAGTGTTAGGTGGGAGTGGTGGCAGGATACTCTGATGAATCAGCTCCATTCCTGCTGCCCACTGTTCAAGATCAAGAAGGGGAAATGAGCACAAATCAGCCCAATTTAAGAGAAAAAGCAGTATGAGAGAGAGATGAAGAGCTGTGAAGTGTGTGTTGGGGGGAGGCGGGGGAGGGGGACAGAGGGGACTGAGGAGGAGGATGGAAGGGTCACTTAGGAAGGGCACAGAAGACTTCCTGGAGGTGATGCTGTTTGAGCCAGGCCTTGAACGGGGACAGGATTGGGATGTAGAGCTATCAGAAGGCATCAGGACAGAGGGAACAGCGGGAACAAAGGAAACCCCAGGTGTGCGAGGAAGCAGTTGGAAGCTCTGTTCCTGGTTTGAGACAATTAGAAGAAATGAGTCTGGTTGCAGAAGAGGACAGACGTGTGCTCCTATCTCCCTGCCTTCTGTTAGAGGCCGAGGGAGCGGCCCTGTTCTGGGTGACCCAGAGCCATGGTCATGGGCTAATGGCAAGACCCTTGTGACTGTTAGAGTGCTTTAATTGTTCAGTCAGCCTTAGATGGGACTGAGCCCTTCAATTTCGGAGGTATGTAAGTGGAGTCTGGGATAGTGTGTGTGTGTGTGTCTAGTGGGGGAGAGTTCATCTAGGGCCATTCTGAAAGTGGGAGTTGGAGTGGATGACATTGGAGGTCCCCTGCTAGCCCGAGTTTGTGGTCCTATCTGGAAAGGCTAAAAGGCCCAGCAGAGGGAATTCCTGGGAGTTTGGTTATTTATTCACTTACTCATTCCCTCATTTGATCCTCTACCCATTCCTCCCTCCCTTCTTTCTTTCCTTCCCTCCTTCTTCTCACTCACTCACTATACCCTTGTTCTGGGCAGACCCCATGCTGAGGACTCAGATGACTCAGATGAACTCCCTGCCTGATGGGGGAGACAGACCCCTGCCAGACAGTGACAACCCAGTATCACTGTGGCATATAAATGGAGGTTACTTTGCTGTGTTTTGTCACTGAGTGGGGTGACAGAGCTGGGACATGGGCTTGAAGAATTAATGCAGACATATGTCTTCCAGCTGAAGGATATTATATGGGAAACGAAGTGCTTGCGGGAGAAAATAATCAGGGTCCGGGGCTTAAGAGGCAGGCTTTCTTGATTCGTGGGGCTCCCCAGAGGTACACTTGGGGACCAGCCCTTTGGACTACGGGCACCACAAACTCATCCCACGTCAGCAATGAGCCTACGGGTTTTGGGCACTGCTAGAGAAGTCCTTGGTCCGCATGAGCTGTGAGAGGCTGCACAGAGTGCTGGTTACACCTGTGGGCTCTGAACTTCGATCAGGGTTCAAATCCTTATGCTAAGTCTTATCAGCTGCATGACTTTGGACACATGACTCTTTGCCTTCAGTTTTCCTCTGGAGGAGAGTGATAATGCTAGTGCCTTGCTCCAAGGGTGAGGCTCAGAGGCTGGCACGGGGCTGGGTGTGTATGTGAGGAGCTGTAATGACAGTGACGGTGGCCATGAGAGTGAGGGATAGTCACAAGCCATCTCAACCGTCTCTGGGTCTCATTCTCCCCACCTGTGTCCCCAGCTCACTGGCTCCCACCGTATGGTCCTTGGACCAGCAGCATCAGCATCCCTCTGGATCTTATTAGAAATGCAAATTCTTGGGCTCTCTGGGAGCCTTTGCTTTCAGCAGTCCGCATTTTAAACCACCTTCTGTGTGATTCTGATGCAGGCTGAAGTTTGGGTACCACTGACCTCACTCTCACTTAAGACTGGGTCTCTACCCACCTTTCCAGGACTGTGATTCACCCAGGGTTGCAGCGTGTTTCCTATGTTTAGGACCCTGGTCTGCGGGCTGACGGGGAGAGGGGCCAGAGATGATAAGATGTGGCGTCAGCCCTCAGGGGACTTGTGGGAGAGTCGGGAAGGGGAGGCAGATGCCCATGGCGATCTTCACTGGAGTCACAGAGCTGCCAAAGAAGAGCAGAGAGGAGAGAGAACTTTGTGGGCTGCAGAGCCTTCTGCAGAAAGATCTGGATCTCTGTGGCCTGTTCCTTTTTTTTTTTTTTTTTTTTAAGATTTTGTTTATTTATTTGACAGAGAGAGAGAGATCACAAGTAGGCAGAGCAGCAGGCAGAGAAAGAAGGGGAAACAGGCTCCCTACTGAGGAGAGAGCCCGATGTGGGGCTCGATCCCAGGACCCTGAGATCATGACCTGAGCCAAAGGCAGAGGCCTAACCCACTGAGCCACCCAGGCGCCCCCTCTGTGGCCTGTTCCTGACAGGATGCTGATTCAGCCTTGCTGGGAGTCCTCTCCTAAGTCTTCCTCATGGACTTTGGGTGGCTCGCCTCTCATCCCTGGGCTTCAGGGTACCCCTGTGTAAGATAGGGGACTAGACTGAGTCTAGTGTGTCTGAGACATTGTGAGCCACTGGTGAGAGGGTAGGCTGGGGACCAGAAGCTCTCTGGGTCTCTGCACTGCAGAACCCTGAAATTGGCCTTCCTGTCTGCTGGGATGCCGTGCACTGAGCTGTGCCTTCTCTGGGCTGGTTTTCTTACCAGTCAGGGGAGGACTTATGATCCCTGTCCTGTTCACTTCACACGGTTTTTGTCACGCGGGACATGTGCTTCATTCTTCGAAGCTTCTTGCTGCCTCAGGCCGGTGGCCTGGCATTTGAGGCCCTCCTCAACAGATTCCCAGCTTTTTACTGCAAGATGAGCATCCTGTTCTGCTCCCGTTAGGCCTTCCATCTCACTCCTCTTCTCAAACTATCCAGACCCATTCAGTCTTCAGGCCAGAAAGCACCACCTCCTCCAGGAAGCCTCCTCGATTGCCCCACCCCTCAGGGCCATCTTTGGGACATCTTGCTGTCTTTAAGGCTTGATTTTAATTTCTCACTCGTTGACACTGAACTGCTGGCAGACCCCTGACCTCTTTCAGGGAAAGGCTTGAGCTCACAGGGATAGACATGAGAATCCTTTCAGAGGCACAGGGAACGTTCGCGAGAGAACCAGGCCCAGAACCCAGGTGTCTTAGGCTCAGGGGGAGACATCATTAGCTGTGTGGGGAGTGAGCTGGAGGCCATGAAGGGCAGATCAGGCCGAGCTGTGTTCCAGCATGGCTCTGCACTCAGCAGCCGTGCCGCCTGGGCCATGGCACCTTCCCCCTCCAGCTCCAAGGGACCTTCCGGTGGGCTGGAGTGAGGACAGCACTAGGCCTTGGACGCAGCAGGTGTTTGGTTATTGTGAGGAGATCATTATGACTCCTGATCCGTTTGCCCACCCTGGCTCCCCTGCCTGGCTCTGCCCTGCCTTCTTCACTTAACCACCAAGGACTTTATTTTATTGGCCCATCATGAAAAGCCCAAGTGTCAGTGTCAAGGCCTCCTTGTGAAGCCTCTTGCAGAAGCAAGAACGACAAGGGAAAATCTGGGTGTTCTCTTAGTCGGTGGTGGCTACGGGGGGCCTGGGGTAGGATTTGGCAGGTGTCACTTTAAGAAGTCACACCGCTTATTTTAAGGAAGGAGGGGGTGTGCCTGTCCCTGGCCAGCAGCTGGCATTGGGCTGCACTTGGGGGCAGCACTCCCAAGGGTGAAGAGTCCTAGCAGGTGGGTCTGGTGTCTCTCTGGGAGGCCGCTGGCTGCTCCCTGGCTTCCTGCCACCTCCGGCCTGACCCCTTGTGGACAGATGGAAGCCTGGTGACCGTTTTGCCAGTCTAACTGGCTGGGGCCGGTGAGGTGGGGACTCCCGGCCCCTGGGAGGGACCCCAGGGCCAAGAGACCCCGTGAGCAGGACGTCAGGGGCTGGCAGTGGGGGTGACTAAGTTCAGCTGTGGCTGAAAGTAAAGCGAGTGTCCCAAGAGGTGCCCAGCGGGCGGGCACAGGGCCCCCTGACGTGGCCGGGGTCAGGTTGGCAGCCTCTCTCCTTCCTGTCTGCCAGGCGGGCCCAGGAGCCTTGGAGGGGGGTGCTCTGGGAGAAGGGGGACAGAGGGCGGTGCCAGGAGAGGCAGGACTCGGTGATAACAGCTAGGCTTAGGAGGGGCGGGAGCTCGGGAGGAGGAGCAGACGAGAGGCTAACCGGCTTCATTTGGAGCCGGAGCCTGGCTGTTGCTCAGGTGACCAGTGTCTCTCTCAGAGGGTGCTGCCAACGGGCCTGGCCGCGATGATCCAGAATGTTGGAAATCACCTGCGAAGGGTATGCAGGGTGGGTGTGAGGAGGCTGGTTGGAGGCCAAGGGAAGGGGGCTGGAGGCTGGGGATCCTGAAAGAGAATTGAAGTTTCCATCTTAAGCCAGAAGTTCTCCGTCTTCTCTCTCATTTTCTATGGGCCATTTCCTAGCTCTCCTTGGAAGGAGGAATTGCAGAACTCCTAGGCTGGTTTATTAGAGGCAGCAATCCTGAAGCGAGCCCCAGGGGCCATGCTGAGGAGTTCTATTTTGGGGGTGCGTGTTTCTCCCTGCCGAGTCCGGCGAGTGCTTCTGCCGGACATCAGAGCTCAGTGCCTCTGCGGCGTGCTGGAGTTCAAGGCTCCTGCAGGAGTTCAGGGCTTGGACCCCGATGGAAGTTACAGGACTGGGGGTGGGGGCTGTGAGTGGGTGAGTGAGGGTGTGGCAGCCCGGGATTCTCGGGGACAATAACCTCTTTCAGAGAGCAAGCTCCGGACCAGGCATGGGCTGTTGGACAGGTGTCCTGCAGGGTGGCCTTACAGCCCACGTTTCCCTGGAGTGTCTTACCAGGGACTTTGGAGCTGAGATTAGATGCTGAGACATGGGATGGAGCCAAGTGCTCATCACTGCCTGGCAGGGGCCTTTGATCTGGTGAACGGGAGAAGGGTGCAGGATGGACTGGTGGAGGTTGTGCTGGGCACAGAGTGGGTGTCCTCTGAGGACATTCTCAGGAAAAGCCTTTTTAAAGGGGACAGGAACAAGTAAATCTCTTACTGATCCCATCCCTCCATCTGCATGACTGCCACTCAGCTCAGACCTCAGCACCCTCCTGAGTCTAGGGCACCTTCTCCCTGCTTCCTCCATTCCACATCCAGCCCCTCCCAGTCCCCTCCCCTGGAGGGATGCTTCTAATAGGTAAGCGGGGTTATTCCGCACCTGCTTAGCCAGCTGCCTTCAGTACAGTGTTCATGTTCCTCACCTGATACAAGAGGCTCCTGGTAATCTTCTGCCTGCTTCTCCCTCCTCATCCCACCTTCCCCACCCCTATAGATTCAGCCGTGCTGAACCGCTTGCCACTGCCTCAGTATACCACCTTTGTTCTCTCCTCTGTGCTGTGATCCCTACTGTGCTTTTTGCTTGGGTGGCCCCTAGCCTCCCCCATATCCGCTCCCCCACGTCCCCCTCAGCTCAGATGCCAACTCCTCCAGGAAGCCTTCCTAGATTTCTCAGGGCACAGAGAGCCTCTGTGTTAGTTCCTTCTCACACTGGACTGTGTGGTAGACTTGCACATCTATCTTTTACACCAGCCAATGAGTTCCATGAGGCTGCTCTTGGTGTGCCCATCAGAGGGCTGGGCATGGTCAGAGCCCCAGACACTGTCTAATGAATGCATGGGCCTCTTGTTCCCCAGTTCCTGAGCTTGGGGCAGAGAGCTTTTTCCAGGTGGGGCTGTGTCTTCTCTTGTACCTTTCATGATTTTTTTCCCCCATTGATTCCCATCAATAATTGGGGGAGAAGGCAGGAGGGGAAGGATGTGTCCTTATCATCATTTTGCAGAGATAACAATAGAATTGTGACAAATCCATATGTAACACCACACTATGCACCACACCAAATGCTTTGTATATATTAATTCGTTCAGTTCTCTGTGAGGTGGGTACAGTTATTATCCCCGTATCCCAGATGAGGAAACTGAGACTCAGAGGGGTTGAGGACTTGCCCAGGCTCAGAATCACACTGGTAGGAAGTGGCAGAGCTGGGATTTGAACGCAGGCAATCTGGCGCAGAGTCTGAGCCCTTAGGGAAACTGAGGCTCAGCCCTGCGAAAAGTGCAAAAGCTGAGTGAGACTCCAGGCCACAGGATCCGAGTCTGAGCCCAGGCAGCATTTTACTTCCCCATTCTCTAGCCCCTTCTCCCAAGTCTGGGAGTGGAGGTAGGTGTGGGGTGGAATTGGGCCCATGAGGAGACATGGGTGACCTCATGCCGGCTGAGAACACTCTGGTCTGGACTGCCACCAGTGGACCATTGCCTGCATGGTAGATCTCCTTGGACTCCCCCGTTTCCTCCTGAATTCCCTTCATCCCCCAATAATATAGGACAGTTTGGGATGGTTTTCTGAGTTGTTACCAAAGCTGTTTTTAATGAAAAGCAAGCAAATAAAAAAACCCCACCAAACACTCTTCACTGGGGACACAGAAAGCCAGGTTAACTGGGAACAGACGGGGGCCCTCAGAGAACCCACAGCCCTGCATCCCAGGGTTTGGGGGCCCTCGTCAGTATCCCGTGGCACGGCAGATGGTTCTGGCTTTTCCCTGCACCCAGCAAGGCTCAGAACATGTGAATGAGAGTGAGGAGGTCAGCCTGCCAAGCTGAGGGAGCAAGGTGTGTGTGTGGGGGGGCACTGACTGCCTGTCTGCTGGTGCTGGAAAGGGCCTGCTGTCCTGTCTCAGTCCTCGCCTCTCTCAGTGCCCAAGGTGTCAGTCTGTACTGGGTCCTGAGTCCCATACTCCTGGGCTAGAAGGGGCCCACTGGTCCCTAGTGGGAGACTGGGAACTTCTGCTCAGCCTTGGTGTTAGCCAGGTCAAGGGGACCTCCAGAGTACTTTATTTACTCTGGGAAAGGTAATGGGGCTGTCGATCCCAGGTCCCCTGAGAAGACCCGCACCCTGGCCGTGTGGCCGACAGAAGGCTGGAAGGTCAGGAACAGCCACAGGCATCTGCGCACCTGCTCACACATCTACGGATGGACGTGCGACTCCCGACCGCTGGCAGTGATCCTGCTGCTTCACCTTGAACCTGGGGACAGCTGGAGGTTCTCCCCAGCCTGGCTACCCAGCCTCCTGAAGGGCTTAGTTCAGAGTGTGATGAGGTTTCGGGCACCGTGTTTGGCCCCTTTTTGGATTAACATCTTATCTTCTCTCCATTGCTCATATATAACCTTGGGCCTGGTGCTCCCCCTCTTTGAGTGTTCTTTGAGGTTCCCACCAGCCTTGACATCCTGGGGGTCTGGACTTTTGGGAAGCATTTGTGCACCATCTTGAGGCTGGTCCTGACCGTGAAAGACAGGGCCTGTCTGCCTTGAGAACACCACTGTGTGGTAGAGGAGGGGAGACCAACAGGATTAAAATGAGTGCAAAAACTACTGGATGAATGAGTGACTATGGGAGCTCAGAAGGGTGCTGAAGTGGTCCCAGAAGGCTTCCTGGAGGAAGAGGCAAGACTTAGATACATAGCCTCAGCCTGTTCAGGAACCCTATATGAACCCTGGTTTCAGCCATGGACAGACACCCTTAGTGTTTGTAGTCTGTCCAGAGGACTCGCCTTTATCCTTCAAAACCTAGCTCAGCCATCATCCCCCCGTCCCATCTGCATCTTGCCTGCCCTGGAATGAATGGCATCTCCTCAGGATAGCATACTGATTTCAATTCTTCCCTGCATAGGAATTAACCTGTGGCAGGTGCTAAGCAGCCTGTGATGAACCCAGGCTGGCATGCGGAGCTGCCGGCTAATGAAGGAGACACAGTGAGAAAGTAGTCAAGTAAATACAGGACCAAAACTTGTGCTAAGTGCCATGAACAGTAATGACAATGAGTGTAGACGCCGTCGAAGCGCTCCCTGTGTGCTAAGCATGCATGAACTCATTTAGCCTTTGTAACAACTCTGTGTAGGAGATAACGTTACTATGCCCCTGTTGAAGATGAACCTGAGAGAGGTTAAGTAACTTGCTCAAGGTTACACAGCTGTTAAGTGGCACAGCTGACGTTGAACTCAGATTGCTGGAGAACCAGGGACTGTGAGAGAATAATGAGAGAGGTCAGGGGAAGGCCCTCTGAGCCGGCGACTACTGAGCAGAAACCTAAATGCTGAGAAGGAGACAGCCAAAGGAAGGGCTGGAAGTGTATTCCGGGCAGAGGGAATGGCATTCATTGGCAGGCTCCGAGGTATGGCGGGGTGGGCGGGGGGCTGGCTGCCTTGGAGCTACTGAGTGGAGGTGGGTGTGGCTGGGACAGGAGCAGGTGGGAGGGGCGGAGACAAGGCTATCGTGGGCTGCGGGCTGGGGGTCTGGGCCTTGCAGGCAGGGTTTGGGGTCTGGAGTGCTAGGGTTATATTATCCTGCCCGCCAGACTGTGTGGTGCGTGGGGATGCTCTGGTCCCCAGGTTTAGCGCAGAGGTACACAGTCCCTGCACACTGTGCTCAGAGAAGCTCAGAGACCTAGGGAGACACATTGACATGGTTTCTGTTTGTATGGCCAGCACGAGGAAGGTCCCAGCCACCTTTCCCTCCACTCCCTGACCCCTCACATCAGGCAGGTGGGTGATAGGCTCAGTCCCCTGGTGCAGACAAGGCACAGAGAAGTGAGATGATGTGCCTAGGCTTGTACAGCTGGTGAGACACTTAGAATCCCTAACTGCCAGGCCGAGACCCCTTTCCCAGCCCCTGTCCTGGCCAGGGAGACCTTTGGACCCTCTGTGCATCTAGAGAATGGCCTCACTGTCACACCCAGACCCACCCCATCACAGCTGCGTCTGCCCACCTTTTCCGGCTGATTAGGGCCATCACCTTCTCCCCTGCCTCACACATACTGGGGTTGTACCCCTGCCTTCCACCTGTGTTTGGTCCAGACCAGGCCAAGCTGGCCTCCTCAGCACCTCTGCACAGCTGCTCAGGAGTCTAGAGACCTGTGTTAGAGATACTAATGCCCTTGACCCTTCGTTTCCTCCTCTATGAACCTCGTCTGTTCCTCTAGATCTTGCTGGGTCATTGGCAATGTGAATGACTTTGGAGGAGTACAGAGCTTGGCATACAACTGACCATGGTAGATATGGGTCCTTTTCTTTTCGTTTCATCTGGATTCATCTGGCTTTACCTATCAGAAAACCCAGGCTCTAGCCCCGAGCCACTTTGAGCTGGTTAGAGAATTCAAAGTCTTGTGCTGGTTAGAGAATTTAGTCTCATCTGGGCCCAAGCTACAGTGGGGCAGGGGCCCTGGTGCCATGGCTCTTCTCCTTGTCCTGGGCTGACCTGGCTA